AAAGTCGTTTTTCCAACTGTGCACACTGAAAAAGAAATTCATATATATATATATATATATATATATATATATATATATATATATATATATATATATATGAGAAAAAAATAAATATCTCTTATGGTAATATATTCACCTCTACTTTCCCTCTTTGACTACATTTTTATCACATAACACAGATCTCGTACGGCGTAACAGCCTAGAGGGTTAAATTTATTTTTCTGAACACTTTCGTGTTTCAGCAATGCGAATCTAACTCAACATCAAGATATGTGCACTCTAAGAAAATTTTTTAAAATGCACTTGCCAAGAGTAACAATAGGAGTAACAATTTCTTTCATATTTTTTTTATTTATTTTCTTACTATTGTTGCCTTTCCTTTTCTTGATTTGTTCTGGACATACATCTATTCATACACCGAATGAGAAAAAAATGTATAGACATTCCTTATTTGTTTAGTTTGAGAAAATATATTTGAACGAATTTTTACTGCCTAAATATGCATCATTTGCAACATCCTGAAGGTATTTTAAATTTACACAATATTAAGCGTACAGGTAATGTAGCTGGATTACAGTAAATAATAACATATACAGATTAATAAGCAGGTAAAAATTAAATATGTAAAACATATCGAATGCTAATTTTTTACATCTTGACGTTACGCTATTTTATGTAAGCATTTTCAAAACACAACCAAAATTGTTGTTAATATGGAAACCGTGTTATACAAAATGGTCAATTTGAAATAGGCTAACAATTAAAAGAAACTTTAAAATATATATACGTGAACAAATCAATGAAATTCGCACATTGAAAATATGTTAAAATAAATTATAAATATAGTGATTAAACATAGACAAATACAAATAAACAAAAGAAAGTTTCATGAGAAAATAAAACACGTATAGCAAAAGAAAATATTGAATATTATAAATAAAATATAATTGTATGTAATTTGTTATTAAGGAAAGTATATAGTTTAATTAATATTTTTAACCATTTATATATTTCCATGTTATTTTCTTCAAGTATTATCTTAACTAGAAAAGGTGATATGTCATAAAAAAATTATTTTCTTATTAGTCGAATTGAATTTTAATATCATAGATCATTCAATAATTCTTCTAAATGGTTTATAATGGACACATCAAACCATTTTAGAGCTTTCAAAATCGAAAGGAGGGTTTTGTATTTTTTATATTTTATTAAATCATTTCACCCAAAACAAGACGATAATGCCACTAGTACGCAGGGATTACAGGAAGACAGAAGATGACGATTGACGTTGTCTTTAATTTATTTTAAGATTCTAGGTGTCAGGGAGGCAAGAAATCGGAAGAGAGTTCCACGAGGGAGAAGTACGAGAAAAGAAATTATTAGAATAGAACTTACGGTTACATCTCGCTAGTTCAACAGTAAAATGGTGAGACCTAGTTCCCAATCTAGTAGTACGCTTCAATTCATTCAGGCGAAGCACCAAAAATGAAAGCTCATCAGAACAATTGCCATGAAAATATTTGTGGAAAAAGACAGAGGGAAGCCACGGCATGACGGTGAGAAAGTGACTGAAGTTGAGATGCCAGGCCAGGATCGATTTTTGAATTTTGTCTAGAATTTCGAGATATATAGTAGGAGTAGCAGACCAACTGTGGCAACAGTATTCATTGCACGGATTAATGGTAGATTTATGAATGTGCAAGATGGATTCTGGCGACAAAGTTTGTATGGAAGAATAAAGAAATTAATATATCCACGGATTCAAAATATGGATTGCATTAATAGAACTTAAACGCTAAGTAACTACTCTGTATGTTCTTCTTACGTTTTCTGTTCACTTACACGTTAATGCCAATAGAAGATCCGTATTTTCACCCCGTGGCAAGGTAGACAAGTTTCTCTAGTTTTCGGTTGAGTCAATCAGCATCCCTCATAAATGTACTAAGTTCGATTCTCACTGAATACTCCTCTACTGTGCTCTGTACAAACTAGCGTAAACGTACTAAAATCTCTAACTGTATATAAATTAGATACTTTTATTAAGCATTTCACCCCAAGCAAGGTGGGAGAGCCACTAGTATGCAGAGGGTTACAAATAATGAAAGTGTAGGAAAAACTGCTTATAGAGGTGGGGGATTGAGGAGAGGATAAAAGAAGAACGAGGATCACGGCAACAGAAGATGGCGATTGATGTTTCATTTAATTTTTTGAAGATTGTAGTTATCAGGGAAGCAAGTAAGAGGAAGGAAGTTTCACTGTAAGGAAGCGCGAGTAAAGAAACTGCTAGAGTAGAAGCTGTTGTTACATTTATCTATTTCAACCTTATAAAAGGGTGAAACCTAAATACCAATCTAGTACACTTGCTGTAAAACGATGGTACTTATTTGCTTTTCCACGAGGGTAAGTTTGACAAAGTGAATTTAATCTGGGGACCTAACAAATGTCTATATAGTGTACGTCGCTTTAAAAATAGCCCAGAGTTGTAACTAATGATACGCCTCGCCATTACGTATGAAACTGATCCTGTATGTCTTGGAAGAATACATTTTTGAAGATGTCGCTTCTTAGGTCGACGTCGTACATATAAGTGAGCATCACTTGTTTGAAAACAGAACCTGATTTCACCACTGAACCACTAGACCGTAAACAGAAGTCTGGCCAGCGTTGTAGTATTTCTGCTGCAAGTAAACGATCCCTAATAATCCGTGTTGACACTCGCGGACAATACTCTGGTCTATGCCACATATATATGGTGGAATCTCCCGTCGTATTCGACTTATGTGGGTCAAGCAGCTCAGTTCCTCGGAACCGACAGCCCAAACACCAGAACTATGATTTGATTATAGTGGTGAAGGCTTTGTCCAGAACCAACCACACTTTTTGAAGGGCCGTATACAGAGACCTGGTGTACTACGTGCCACAAGGTCCCCAAGCGACCCTCCTCAGGTTTTGAATTCAGAGTTGTCCTTCTCCTAGACCAGTTGCCATCCAAGGCTATAGAACCCAGTCTGGAGGGAGAAGAGGATTAATACCTTTCCCAAGGGTATTAGCACGAAACTGAATGTAATGGATTAGACTGGAATTCTAACTCGGCTCTCTGATTCCTCAATCCGAGCTACTCCACAGTGCCTGCTGACACACACACACACACACATATATATATATATATATATATATATATATATATATATTGAGACATGTTTCGTTGAATAATTTAGACATGTTTTGTAGACTTATTTTCATTTGGATTCTTTCATAAATTTCATAAATCCTTTCTAAATTATTCAACGAAACATGTCTTATGCTGCCAAAATATAAAAGAAGTGGAAAGATTAAATTGAATCAATTGCTAGGCTTGCTACTAGGAAAAGTGGTTCATTGTATCGTGCTAGACAATCTATATAATCATAATCCTATCTTACACAATTACAAGTCTACCATTCGTTCATGCATTCAAGACTGCTGTCACATCTGGTTTGGTGTTTCTGGTATGTATTCAGAAATTCAAAATGAAATACAAAGATTCAGCAATTTTATTGGTTTTGACCTGACATCCCGGCTTCAGTAACTTTTCCACCGCCTTAACGTAGCTTCCCTGTACCTTTTTATATAAATACTTTCATGGTAATTGTTCCAATGAGCTTCCTTCTTTGGTACCTAGATTGGTGGCAAGGTCTCATCATTTTGAAATGGTTAGATGTAACCGTAAGTTCTTTGCTAACAGTTTCTTCTGTCACACTTCTCGCTTGTGGAACTTTTTACTTTCCCGTCAACTTTGATCTTTAAAAAGTTAAATGCTATTTCAATCGTTATCTTCTGTCTTCTTAATTCCTGGTTTTAATTGTTTTTTTTTTGTTTTGGTTTTTTTTTTTTAATGTTTTCTTTTTCTCATAATCAATGACTCCTTGTGCCTTTAGTGGCTTTATTTCCTTTCTTGGGTTGAAATGATTTAAATAACGTAATAAATTCAGTAGTCATTGAGTACTTCATATTTGTGGTTTTAATAAATGCATGCGTGCGTATGAGAGATAGAGAGAGAGAGAGAGAGAGAGAGAAAGAGAGAGAAACTGAAGCAGATGTTTTAATTCTTTTTTTACTGGTACAAACCTTTGAAAGAGATGAATTTCTGAAAGGCATGTTGACTATTAACCCGCAGTTGAAGGAATTTTTATTCCTTCCATTTGGCTTATTTCATTTTAATTTAATTATTATGTAATCATAGAGCTGGATGACAACAAAGAAAATGGCCTCTAGCTATATTGTTACTAGATTCCCAGGAGTTGATAATATCAAATTTAGCAAAAGTTTAAAACCAAAAAAAAAAATAATAACGGGGGAAATATATATTGGACTAATATAACACATTCTTTTGTATTTATTGTTTTCATTTTAATTAAACGTTACAAGAATTATAAGGAAAGAAAATGAAAATGATATGAAATGTTAACAAACCTCTGGTTTCTTGAAGGTTTTGCTTGTGTATACATTAAATAAATCTACAAAACTTGTCCAGTTTCCCGCCTTAATGTTAACAAGTTTTCCTGTTGCGATGAGTCGAGCTTTCAATTTGACGATACTCCACTGCATTGGAATGAAATTCAAAGATTGAAAATTAATTACATTTATTCATTGATCGTTTGAATTGATTTTTTACGGCTTATCAATTTTTTCAGGTTAATTAAAGCCTAGAAAATATTTTTAGATTGTTAGATTTTGAGGGGAAATAATAATGAGTTTTACTGATACAAGTTCTACTAATTTGCCCATAACGGTGTGGGGAGAGAAGAGGTGGCTTCACGACACAATATTCTTGTTATGAACATTTTTGAGTTCTGACCATCTCCATAATAGGATGTGGGTGTAATTATTTTGATATTGTTAAGATAGGATAAATTAGATGACAATGAATTAGTAGGTAGACATGTTCTGTCTTTTTGTTTTCAATAGGATTCTTTCATATCCCTGAAAATAACTAAGCAGAACATGTCTAAATTATCCAA